AATGATCATTTCTCATAAAATCAACGCCGGGAGTTCGATCCTGATATGTATTTAAATATTGATATACTAGAGAGAATATATTATTATATTTCGAGTGTAATTTAAAAAATCTAATACATATAAATATAATGAATTTTACAGAGGAGCTTATACCAATTTTAAATGAACGTGCCGGATTACCACCAGACACAGAACTCGCTTTATATGAGGGAATTAAACCAAATTTAGTCGAGAAAATAGATAACCTATCGGAGCCTTTGGAAAAATTTCTGGAGGAATTAATGGACGGTGACATCATCGTATTTCAAAAGGAAGGCGACAATGAAATGTACGAACTTCCAACGTGTCGAGAATATTTTAAGTAAGTAACAAGTAAACGCTCTAACACTTTCATCTCTTTTTGCTAATGTATCTTGAGAATCCTATCTTTGAATATCTATAATATTGCAATACGCTTGCTAATTTAACGCGATTTGCATTTCAGAGATCTATTCTATAGGGTAGAAGTAACGTTTTGTGATAAACTGATTCCGAACGACCCAGGTTTTACAATGGAACTTTCGTTAAGAATGACATATGATCAAATGGCAAAGGCTGTAGCGCAATGAGTCGGCACAGATCCGTATCTTTTACAATTCTTTAAGTGTCAAAAGTAAGAATTCCTGCTTCTTTGTACTAATAATGTTACATTAAAAGTTATTTTAAAGTGCTTTAAGAGAAAGGGTTATATTCCGAGATTCTGTTTGCAGTTACAAAGATTCTCCCGGCCATCCTTTAAAGTGTACATTTGACGGCACGCTCAAAGAATTGGTTGCGTACTGCAAAACGAAAGTAAAGAAATTATTTTATCAGCAGCTCAGTATTAGGGTGAACGAGCTAGAAAACAAGAAACAGTTCAAGTGCATATGGGTAGGGCCGTCGCTTAAGGAGGAGAAGGAGATGATTCTTTACCCAAATAAAAACGGCACTGTTGCTAATTTACTCGAGGAGGCTAAGAAGCAGGTAGAATTATCGGAAAACGGATCGGGGAAACTGAGGATATTAGAAATGACTTGCAACAAGCTGTCACCCGGCCCCGTGGACGATACACCATTAGATCACTTAAACACATCAGGCACCAAGTTGTACAGGATAGAAGAAATACCGGTTGACGAAGTGAATCTAGCAGAGGGCGA